ATTCTTGCTTCGCCCAGGAATACGCTGTGGGCTTGTTGGGAGGCACGTGCGGCGAGATGGGGCTCTGCGACTCTCTCTCTCTGTGGGCGTCTTAGCCAAAGCCCCTCTTTTTTCTTTTTTGTTTTGTTTTGTTTTGCCCTGAGCACTTAAATTTTGTTTTTTCGCAACGACCGCGGCGAAGGCTGCGCGCGTGCACGTCTCTTGTTTTCTTTCTTTTTTTGTGTGTGTTTTCTTCTATTTTGCCGTCGCCCCCCAACCACCCAACGCCACTTTCCACGTGGGCACACGGCCGGCGGTGCTGGTGGCCCACGGGCTGCCGGCGTGTCCGGCTCCGCAAGAATTTCGGTGATGCAGAAAACGTCTTTGAAATTTTTTTTGTTTTTGTCTTTTGTTTTTTTTTGTTTTCTTTTTTTTTGTTTTTGTTTGTTTTTGTTTTTGTGGGTGTGCGTGGGCGCTGGAGAGTCCCCAACTCACTTGGGGGCGCCGAAACGGCCTGCGGCCTCCCCTCGCTGGCCGATGCCTCGCCGGGGGAGGGGGGGCAGGGACGCAAAGGCCTCCTCCACACAAACACACACACACGCACATGCAGCCTCCGACGCCGTTCCCACCCCGATCCGCGAGTTTTCAGACGTCTTCGGGGCATTGGGACGAAGCGGCGGGAGTTTCATTGAGCCTGTTTTTTTGTTTGTTTGTTTGTTGTTGTTGCTTGGCGCTTGTTTGTCTGCCTGTTCTGTGTGGCTGTGCGCCTATGCAACCTTGACGAGGGTGCTAGTTGCAGGTTCGTGTCACTCTTTCTGCATGAAGTCGAACTGTGTGTGTGTGGTGATGCCGCATATGCGCAGACGATGCCACTTGTTTTTTTTTCTTCGCCTTTGTTTCTGCGGTGCCCCTGACTTCTATTGCGCGTTTGCCCTTTGCCGACCCTTGCCTTTCTCCGTGGGAGCCGTAAGCCGAGCGAGAGGGAGCGCGTAGTTGCACTATTTCTTTTGCGACTGTTGCCACTATCGTGAGTCCACACGCCCCACGCACCGTCAGGAAAACAGTTACATACAAATATATATATATATATATCGTCTCAGAAGGATATTTACATCCCACACGAGACTGCACGCCGCCGGTATGTTCCGCCGCTCTCTCCCCTGCGAAGGCCCGAGGGTCGTGTCATGCGTGGATGCGCTGCGTGACCTCCGTGATGGCGCCTCGATTGCCGTTGGCGGCTTTGGCCGCTGCGGCGTGCCCTTTGGGCTGCTGCGCCAGCTCCGCAAGGACGGCAGGAAGAACCTTCACCTCATCTCCGCCGTGAATGGCGGCGGGAGCTGCGTGGCCCTCGGCCCCCTGCTGCGCGACGGCCAGGTGAGGACGATAACGACGTCCTACGTTGGGCTTGACACCATTCTCTGCGAGCAGCTGGTGAAGGGAGCTGTGCGGCTGGACCTGTGTCCGCTCGACTCGCTGGCGGAGCGGCTTCGCTGCGGCGGCGCCGGCATCCCCGCCTTCTACACTCCAACCGGCTTTGGCACAGGGCTGACGCACGGCGAATTTCCCGTTGCCTTTGCAGGGGACGGCTCCGGCCACGTGACCGAGTACGCCGCGCCCCGTGAGACCCGCGAAATCGGTGGCCGTTGGTGTGTCCTGGAGCACGCCCTCCAAGCGGACTACGCGTTTGTGAAGGCCTGGAAGGCGGATCGGCGCGGGAACCTTCGCTTTCGCGGGAACTCGCGCAACCTGAACGCCGCGATGGCCACCTGCGCCAAGACCTGCATCGCGGAGGTGGAGGAGCTTGTGGAGGTGGGGGACCTCGACCCAGAGGAGGTGCACATCCCCGCCGTGTACGTGGACCGCGTCGTCCTCTCGGAAGTCCCCAGATGTCCTGCGAGCCACGCGCCGCCCGCCGCCAAGGATGGAGGGCTGGCGGAGCTAACTAAGAAGCAGCAGCGCATCCTGCAACGTGCGGCGCTTGAACTACATCAGGACATGCACGTGAAACTCGGCGTTGGTATCTCCTCCATGGTCGCCCAATTTCTGCCCTCGCACGTGAGGCCTCTCCTACACTACGAGTGCGGCATGTTGTGCAGCGGCAGGCAGCCGAAAAAGGGAGAGGCCGTGAACGCCGACCTCGCGGAGGCCACCGACGGCGCTGTCGGCGTCGCCGAGCCCGGCGCCTCCTTCTTTGACACCAACGTGTCCGCCGCGCTGCTCCGTGGGGGCCATTTGGACGTGACGCTTTTGGACGCCTTCCAGGTGTCGGCATCGGGCAACATTGCGGGTTGGCATGGACCGGAACAGGTGCCGTTTATCGAGACGGGCGCTATGGACGTCATCTGCTGCGGTGGTCGCAGCATCGCGCTCTTGGAGCACACTGGCGAGGACGGCGAGCCCCGCATTGTTGAGCACTGCGACAGGCCCGTGACGGGGAAGTGGATGGCTAACACCATCATCACCGATCTGGCGGTGTTTGACGTTGTCTGTCGGGGTGGCAACGCTCGCCAGCTGATGCTTAAAGAGGTCGCGGAGGGTGTCACCGTCGAGGAGCTCCGGGCGAAAACGGCGGCCCCGTTTCTTTTGCCTGCGGAACTGAAGGCGATGCAGCACGCGTAGCTATTTAGTGGGAATGCCATGTGCCTCTTCCCCTGACGCGTGTTGTGTCTTTTTCGCTTTCGCCGTCTCTCTCTCTCCCTCTTTCACTTTGTTTCCTCTGGGCCGTCTTCTCTTCTTCCCCGCCCGCCACATCTTTTTTTTCTTTTTGGGGAAAGGAGGGGGCAGGTATTTGCGCAAACGCCGTCTTGCTGTTTTGTATCGTCCCGGCCTGTGAGAAATTTGTAAGACGAGATTATTTGTTGTTGTTGTTGTTGTTGTTTTCTTGTTGTTGTTTGTCTGCTTTTGACGCCTGCCCCCCAAAGAAAGAGACGGTCAACTCCCACCCGCGCCGTGCTGCGACGCCGTGTCTCTAGCAGCATGCCGCCACATATTGGGGGAAAAAAAAGGTTGAACTCGATGATTTTGCTTGAACGGCGGCGTCTCTTCCTCTCTTTTGTTTTGTTTTGTTTTGTTTTGTTTTGTTTTGTGTCCACCTCCGTGAGGGGGAGGGACGTTGAGCGCACTACAGGCACGGACGCCCCTCCCCTCCCCTCCCCCTACCAAGAGAGCCAGAGAGAGAGAGAGCGCAAGGGATACAGTAAATCTGTGTGTGAACTGCGAACGAGCTCTTGGCTTTATTTTTCTTTGATTTGGTTGTTGTTATTTTTGCTCTTGTTTCCGGTTTTGCCGCACTTTTCGCCGTTGCCATGCGGCCCGCCACGTGCGCCGCGGACAGCCGCACACACGCGCAGTCCCCTGCGTGCGGTTGTGGTGGTCACGGCGTGCGCTACGACGCCGGGCTAAGGCTCCAATCCTTCCGAGGGCGTGGGCGCATGCCCCACTCTTGTCACTTTACTTTTTCTTTGTACTGTTTTTTTTTCCTTTTTTATTTGCCTTTTCCGTTTTTG